CAAGCTAGCTGCCCAGCATTCACGGCCCCGCCTGTGGTCGAGAGGACATACCCCGTTTCGTCCAGACTGGAGATCCCAAGGCGAAGCGCTCCTCAGACGGGTTCCCGAGAGTACCTGCACCAAAACCTACCTCAAGACACTGATTGACACAAGACATCAACAATCGTATGCCGCAAATTTGAACGGCAATCAGTTCCACGCCCGCGCTATGGGAGGAGAGACGCTCCCCCGTTCCGTCAACAGATCGAGAGAGGAGGATGTCACCCTGTTCCAACTGCGTGTAAACAGACCCCCTCAACTTCAAGACACCCTCTTCCGTTACGGACGAGAGGAGACGGACACATGCCCCTACTGCCACACCGCCCAGAGACGGCGGAGCACTTTGTTCTTCCACTTGCATCGCATACGGATAAAAGTTTGTCTGAACAGTTAAGAACACTTAACTCCTCTGAAGTTCAATCCATGTATTTGTACAGTAATCAACCATGGGCCGTCGGTTTCTTTTTTTGGTGCTTTAAAAGCTATGCTGAAGGGGAACACGTCTTTCACCTTATGAAGGGCATCCAAGTGAAGGAGAGAGAACTAGACTACACTCTATTCAAACAAAAGTGCCATGATGCTCTATGTGAATTTCATCACCTGAAAATGATTGTATGTGGCAACATAACAGATACAGCCGATTAAGCTCCTTCGACTGAACTCTGAGTGCAACGCTTAGATTCAGTCCTTCGAGCTGGAAATATTAAGTGATTGCTTAATGTTAAATGATTATAAAGGCATATTATCTACAGAATTTGATTTATACTCTTGATTCATATATCAACAAAACGAGCTTTGTAAAATTTGTTTTGCTTAACAGTGGTGAAACATTTTACTATTTTCTTTTGTTGTAAAAGATCTAAAATTGTTAGATTGCGGATTCATACCATATGGATCAAGTTAGTCTGGTTTTGGCTGAACTCTGCGTGCAACGCTTAGACTCAGTTATTCAGATCAATGTTTCGTGTTATTCATATATATTGAAAAATCATTTTCTGTATAAAATTTGAAGTTTTCTTTTAATTCAATATTTCAATGCAATAAGCTCTGTAAGTTCATGCTTTTAATAAAAATTGCCATTGACTATCACTTAGTTCCAGTTTACTTGATAAAGTTTTTCTTAAGTTTTTTTTTTCGAAAAAACGGGGCGAGCATTTTCGCGAAGAGAAAATGCGAGCCATATGCTTGTTGATATTCTGATTATCACTTTCATAGTATGTTTCCTATATATAATTTTCTTAAACCAAACGTTTTTTGTTTGTGTTCATAAATCTGAATAAAATTCTAATTTATGATTTTACGAGTTTGATTAGCGTTGAATGTAGGTTTAAAAAAAGGAATCAAAAGTGTTTTATCAAAACAACGATTTCATATTTGAAGAGTTTTTGATAAAAGTTTACTCAGACTAGCAACTAGGTTATGACTCGCTTTTTAACGAAGTTAACTGATATTTTTTACAAGCGTGAAGTTTTTGAGAACGACTTTATACTGATTTTATAGAGCACAATGAGTCATTTCAAACCACAAATGAACGTTCAAGACGCCCAAAATCTTACTATGGCAAGTTATGATGAAATCAATTTTTCACGATTAAGTGCCGTAGATGACCGCAAATCAAAGCGATTCTATATTAAAACAACTCATCTGCATGCGTCCAAGTAAAGAAAATGAAAGCTTGGACGATTATTCGAAACAGGAGTGGATCTTCGCTGAAAGATATGCCCTCCTGTGATAGGTTCATTGTACTAGGAGTTAATGGATCGCAGCATGTGGTTTTAATCTTCACACAAAATGCTCAGGAAAGCAAAATGCTGCTGCGTTATTCTGATCATCTCCATCCTGGCCATGGGGTATACTTGGTTAACCCTCAGTTAATGAATTTTATCGGTGACAACACGGTGGTATCTTCGAAAAACCCTCTGATTCCGTTTGCTGAAGATGTTGCGCCCATAAATATTCTGCCACCATGTAACATGGAAAAACCTCACAATGCATTTTTCAATTTCACCACCAACAAAATGCACTCTGCTTCGATAGATTCAGTATGTAAAGGCCGTTTCTGCGACAGTCAAAGCGAAAGAGCATCATAACCTTGTGTTGCCGCAGACTCAAAAAACCATTGGGTAATAGAATTTGTGTTCAGCTGCGAGGAATTTAACGACACGTCGAGAGATGATGTCGTGTTTTCGTCAAAAATAAAAACAGTTCTTTGTTCTGCCGCATATACTGAGCCTGCCACTTTCGGATTTCGGCATCGACACTCCATTAATGGAAGATAATGTTAGCAGCTTGATATTTAATGTGGTTTATTATTTTGACTAGAGTCGATAACCTGTCAATTATCATTTTAAGAAAATGCAACTTTCATTTGAGACTATTAAGATTGTACACAAAAATTCATGCCGTTTTTTAAAACAAATATAACTCTATGATTAGACACTAGAGCTATGTGAGCTGATCAATGATGGTCAAGGCTTCAGATTGAAGGGCCGGCTAAAACCTGATTTGAATGAAGAGGGTGTCACTACAATGAATTTTACACTTCATGTATCTTCATTGGAGCCCGCAACTGCTCTTGCCGATGCTCAGAAGGAATATATTTATGCAGGTTTTTTTCTACATTTGTGTTAAGTATATTAACCTTCATGATAACTTGATCGTATTATTTGGTTTTCACTCTTCGTGAAACTCTGCGTTTAAACGCTTAGATTTCATGAAGTAAAAAGGTTTGAAAGTTACATCAATAATTGTTTAATTAGGTGCAAACTCCACAACCGGGCCAGATATGGATTCCTAATCAATTGAAACAGAAAAGGATTTACAAACAGAGTAACGAAGTCATAGCGCAACTAAAAATGAAGGAATGATTTACAATTTGAGAAGAATTTCGATTATGGCATTTTTACATAAATTTGAAATTTCATGCTGTTTTGTGTGTAGCTGATAATTGCAATGCCCCTTAATTTGGAGTCTGCCGTTTTTAAGACGTTTCGACAACTTTGATTGAATATAATCAAATTGTAAAGGAAAGTTCGTCTGAATTCAATACTGGTTAAACTTATTTTGATTATAATGTTCAAATTTCTCTGTCGTCAAACATGTATCTGTTTCAAAAATTGAATCTTCATTTTAACATTGAGGTTTTTTGACATTTAGTTATAAATAATCATAAAATTGCGCCTGGATTTTGTAGCTTAGGCCTATAATAATCAAATTGAATCAATCCTGGAACATATTTAAAAGATTTGATAAATGCACCTGATATAAATTTAATGAAATATAATCAACCCGTACCAGCAAAATCGGTGTTAATGAAGGTTTTCCAGTACTTCTGGTGAAAATGTTAATAAAAAAAACAAATTTCGAAACAAAGAATGTTACGTGAACACAAAAAACACTGATTGAATACCCAACAAACTGAGTGTAATATTATTTACAAGACTAACATTCCATTAAACACAAAACAAAAATCAGAAAAACAAAAGTATAAACATTATAGCATCGCAAAAAAAATTGAGTTCAGCATTTGAATATGAAGCATAAAAGTATATTATTTAAACAATTAAATTTTGAGAAACTTCATGATGTTCTATGGGATTTTTGACTCGAACTTTATGCGCAAAATTAAAGACTCACTTCGAATTTTGACTCTCACCTTATTAAATTTTAATTCTGCTCTAAGGATTTCTTTCTACCTTTTATTGGCTTGGTGAACTAGTTTTTGAGTAGTTTCAACGGAAACATTTGTTTAATGCTCACTTATGGATCGCACAAAATGCTAAAAGTCTTAATTGCACTTGTGAAGCAGAGTGTTATAGTACAAACATTCTTCTTCTTCAATATAAGATCTTATCGCAAGGGCAATAATTTCAAGCATTTGCGAAGTATCAAGTAGCAAATTACATGATTTTTTTTTAAAAAGCTTTGGTCATAACTTTCTCGACTCTTTACCTGTACGTTCCTTAAATATCATAAAAATATCAAGAGCATTTTTTCAGAAAACAAATTTTGTTTATTATTATTATGATTATCATTATTGAAAGTAATCAAGTGACAGATAGTTTTTTGCGGTTTCCTGACTGTTTTTGCATTATGTTTTCATAACTCTTTACTTACATAACTACATGTGATAATTTTGGTATCACATAAGTTTGAGAAAACGAAAGTTAAATTTTTCGAGAAAACCAGCAAAAAATTACCTCCTTTTTAGGTAAAATTCGCTTTGCTTTTCAATACTTCAGCGCATTTCGAGAAAACTATAAAATAAAAAAAATTCAAAGCGCGTTAAAAAATTAAACCTACTATTTCTAATTTAAAATTATGCACGATTTCTCCCACAATTCACACTTTTGTTAATGGAAGCCTAATTTGCCTCAAATTTAATAACTGAACTTGATGTGAACAAGTGAACCTCACAAAAACCAAACTGCCATGAAAACCTTAATAAGAGGGAAAACAACAAGCTAAATAATTTCGTTAGTATCGTTAATTCTTTATTATGATATCGTTCCTTAACACTTAATAAATAAGACTCATATTGAGCTCCATAGCCTCTTTTCAACGAACACATAAAAAAGAAAGACCATTAGCCTAATTAATTATTTTTAAGTTTTTTTGATTGTTCAGATGAAAAACCAATTCGAAACTTCTCAATTTAAAAGTAATAACTTTTACATCAAACAAACAAATTATGAAAGTAAGAACTTTTACATCAAACAAACAAATTCTGAAAGTAAGAACTTTTACATCAAACAAACAAATTCTGAAAGTAAGAACTTTTACATCAAACAAACAAATTCTGAAAGTAAGAACTTTTACATCAAACAAACAAATTCTAAAAGTAATAACTTTTACACCGAACAAACAAGAAACAAAAACTTTTCAATTGAAAAGTAATAACTTTTACCTCAAACAAAGAAACAAATAATTTTCAATTTCATCAATTGTTTTGAGTATTGGTAAGTAATTTTGTCTATTCAGACTGAAAGAATTGTAGTGTCCAAATCTGATTTGCTTTTTTTCTCACTATAAATACAATAATCCTTGCGTGAAAGCAACTCGCTTCGGCTAATTGAATCCAATAGCCACTCCACGCGCAACAATGGTAGGCAGCACTCGTCTGCTAACTTTCTGGCATCGGGCGAGAAGTCATCATTCGCTAGGAGTATCCGGCGTCTATTTCCATAGCAGGCCTGTTACAAAATAACAGATGGTACCACTTAATTGGTTGAATGTGTACAGCGGGTTCTCAAATATGAAAACTAGCTTAGTACAACAATAAATTAATACCAAAAATCAATTTCACCTGTATTAAAATAAAACAGTCACCAGCAAAAAAAGTCAATGAAGCCAAAAACACCGAAAAAACGACTTTTGAAGAAAACCAATACAAATTTAAAAGCGTAATTTTCAATATTTGAAATAATGGACTTTAATATCAGATTTAGCAAGTAGTTTTCGAGAATAGTGACGAAATTTCTTTGAAAAAGGTAAACATTTAAAAAAGAAGTTTTTCTGAAAACCATAACAGCTTTGTATAAAAAAAACAGGGTAAAACAGATAAAGCAGGGAAAAGCCAAGCGCCATGTTAGTTTTAATGAACGATCAACCACAGTATCAACAGGTTAGTGAGTTAGTTATGAGGCGTATAACTCATAGAGTGATTTCGGATAGGGTACACCGTCTGCTCGTCACGCAATCTTATTTTCGGCCAGCTAGATTCGTGCAACTTCTTAGTCTAACACCGATCCTAATCTTACTCTTATATCTACTAGTCTCAGGGTGTTTAACTAGTCTCTGCTAGGCTTAATAGATCTAAAGTATACTGGTTTTATTGCGGCTGCTGAAGTTCTCGAGGAGAGGTAACTAATCTCTAAGTTAAATTCAAATCTCTCTGGTGCTGAAATTACAAGTAATTTCAGCACTTACAAATAAGTGGGTTGTTAGTTAGATGGATTATGATTGGTTAATATTAAATACTTTACAGTGGTAAAATATCTAATTTATATGAAATAATAAAATGTAGTTTAGATCAGGTTCCACCCATCCAGGGTTTACAGAGTTTTTGAGTTTTATCTCTTTTCTTCTGCAATTGAAGGATGGATGATGAACGTTGGTATTTGGCGAACATAAAATTTCTTGTCCGGTTTCTCCTTCAAGAGAAACGTTCCAGAACGCTGGAATGATGGACATGAAGTTATCGTCTTGTCGTTCGACAACGAATGCGATCACCAATGAAATCAATCCGATTTCAAAATGGTTTGCTATGTCAGGTTTTTCTGTATAAGTGGAGAACTGTCTTGTGTTCAGCCTCGTTTGGGAATGGCGTGAAAATCGTGTTTGGAAGGAATGCCTTGTAACTCGGATCGATACGTATACTTGAGCATCGAGGTGGTCATTGCTCAGGTTCAATTTGAGTCGTGATTGTGGACGGCATGTCGATTGTCTTTTTAGCCATTCTTTTGTTCAAGTGTGATGTGATCGTCTAGTCTTTGGATGTTCGTCTTTGTTGTTGTGTATGATCTATGTACTGCATATTATAAATTACATTTTATAGATTTTTGTTAATTTGGTTTTTAGTCATGATTCTAGTTAGCGTTTTTCGCAAAAGCGTCTTATTTTAGTTCAGTTATTTTGAAGAGTTACTCACCCTTGAGTACCTCTTATTAAAAATAGAAGTGTGGTCACAAAGCGTGAGTGTAGCGCGGTGGGTTAGGCCGGCTATAAGCATGCTCAGGACGTCCTCTCTGGTGGGTTAGGCCAGGAGTGGGAGTATGATTTCGTGCTGTTTCTTTGAGGGGTCCTGTTTTGTGATAACCTTTTATGTTGGTTTTTTCTGGTCTTTCCTATGTTACTTTTGGTTGTGTCCTTTTTTCAAAAAACAAATTGTTTTTGGTCTGGGTTTGTCTTTCGACTTTTTTGTGTTTTATTATTTCTTTCTTAGACTTTGTAATAGTCTTCAAAAGAATAAATTATCCAGTTTTAAACTGGGTTAATCCGGTTTGGGTACCGTTGGTTGTCTTTTCTTAGTCATGCTGTTATTTTGATGAGTTATGGTATTTAGTAAGCTGCATTGGTTAGTTTAGCGTAGTGTATAACTCCATTCCAACCGGGTTAAGCAAAAGTTGGAAACTTGTTATCGGTTGTTTGAGTTATTGTTAGTGAAAGCTTGAAACATAAAATCATTATTTCAAACAAAACTTCGTGGGCGAGCTGTGCGAGTATGGATAGAATTCTTGTGCGAATGAATGAAAACATTGAAAAGGTTAGTACTGCTTTCTCATTTTATGAATTTATTGCTTGAAATTTGAAATTTACTACATTTGGGGAAATTTTAATTTATAAATTTTCATCGTATTTGAATTTTACTGCTTCTTGGGGAAATAATTTATAAATAAAATTACTACATTGGGTATGAATTTTACTACTTTATTTGGTGCGAAAAATTTAGTATAGCAAAATAGTTTTAGCAAATAAGTTTTAGCAAAAGAAATTACTAGTTTTGTATTCTAATTTAACAAGTTTGTATTTTTATTTCTTTTTCTGTTTTTGTAGATGATGGTAGTAAGAAGACTAAAAAGAGAATTGAAACATTTATAAAGAATGGCTAGTACAATTTGAATTATTAGTTAAATTTATTTGAATTATACTTACCTTAGTCATCGGGAAAAAAGCCATGGGGGAAGATATCGAGAATCAAATCGGATGTTGTTAATAATTTGGCTATTATGCGAATGACGTTTTTAGTTTGAAGCAGTGGCCAAAGCAATTGAAGTGCTTTGATGGTGTTTAGTTCTTCGGTGCCTACTGCGAACTCATGAGGTGTGTTTTGTATTAAGTTGTAAATTTTGTGATTATATTTAGTATTATGAATGAATTCTAGTATGGGAATTTCAATAGGTTGGATGAACTCATGCGGGATAATGAAGGGTCTTGATTCTTCATCATTGAAGGTCTTCGTGAGGGGACATAATATATACATTTGGGTAATGGGGTCATAGTTACGGAGGATGCCGTGGAGGTTAGTAATTTTAAAGCAATATGTAAAATTAAGAAAAAATGGTGATGTGTATTTCGAGTTAATGAATTGAAAACGATGGTGGGGTTGTCGTGATGGTGTAAGTCAAAATGGTTTTTTATAAAACGATAATATGTATAAGTATGTGTTTGTTTAGTGCGTAACATTATGTCATGGGAACAGTGCAAATCGCGTTTTTGTGGTGAAAGAAAGTGAAAGGTTAGTGAAAATAACTGAAATATATCATAGAAGCTTTCGTTTGCTTGCATGTCAATCAGTGCTTCAGAAACTATATGATCGTGCTTTTATCAAAAAAATTAAGAGTAAGAAGATATGGTGTTTTAATAAAAAATTTTTCAGTTAGTTGTGGGTTTGCAAAAGGATCTTCATCAAGAAATTGAACTTGGTTAGGGCGTATGATGTTGTTGTCGTAGTATTCAATGGAGAAATCGTTAGCTCGGGGTGCGGTGAATATTTTAAGTAACTTATTAAATCCAACATATGTAAATTTTCGAGGTGTTAGTAGTGTTGTGAGTCTGTATAATAGAGTTTTGCTTCTTTCATTATCTTCATGTGTATTATTGAGTGGTATAGAAAGAGGGTTAGTATAGTGGTAATACGCTGTCCAAGGAAGTGTTGGCATTAAAACGTGCTCATCAACAAAATTTCTGGTGTCATTAGTAGTGATGGTAGATGTATTTAAAGTGTACTGTGGAAACGAGGGTAAGGTTATTTGAAGGAAGTTCTTTGTATTTGTGTGTTCTGGGTGGTTGATATACTCTTTGGCTGTTCCGGGTTTGGTTGTGAATGGGTGATGTGGGAATTTTCGTTTAAAAGTGCGGTAAGCTCGGTTAAGGTTAGTGGATGTTTCAGTAGATGTGGATGATTGAGCTTATGATGGAGTGTTATCTGATAGCGGTGTGGGCGTTGATGTAGTTGATGATGTTGCTGTGGATGACAATTGGTGGATGTTAAGAGTATGGGGGTATGTTAATTGTTGTTGTAACGTAATAAAATTATCGAGCTCTTCGGAGATTTGGACAGTATCTGGGGAGTTATTATTTGATCTTTCAGAGGTGAATGGGGAATAGGTTGGGGTTACTTGGGAAGCATAAGAGGGAGTAGAAATGGATTGGAGTGGATGACTGGTTTGGATGGGTTGAAAGGGGGGTTGCGAAAAAACTGATGGGTTGGTCTGGGTATAGGTAGAGGGAGATGGTTCGAAGTTTGCAAATTCGTCGGGAGTTTCGATGTCGGAGTTGTTAAATTGTGATATGGTATAAAAAACTGAGTTAGTGTCTGAATTCGTGCTAGATGGTATATTAATAACTGGAAAATCGGGTGGTGGGAAAGCGAAAAGTGGAATAAATGGGATTGGATTTGGAGGTTGGCTGGGTGGGAATTTGAGCGATGGAGGGCTCCAATTTGTCGGCTCAGCGTGGGCTAAAAAAATGATTATGTTGAGACTGAAAAGTGGTGGTATGGGGTTGTTCAATAATTTGTTCATATGTATTATCATTTTGTGAATGATTTGTCGTTATGTGTTGAATGGGGCGTTGTGCTGTATTTCTGAAATTTGGATTATTGGTGATTGCTAAGTTTCGGAAATTTCGGGGAACTAATGAAAATGGATGGTTTTGTGGTAGGGCTGGTACTTGTGGTGCTGTGTCTATATTATTATGTTCTTCGTCGTATGTATTCGGTCTTGTGGCTAATTTTGTGTTATTTTCTTTCATTTGTGCGTCTAAAAGTATTTTATTTATTGATGATGAAAATATTCCAAAAAATCCCGCAAAAATATACGTGCTAAGCTTGCTTGGCGGTTTACTTGTGTGTGTATAGCACATGTGTTATAGATTCCTTTTAATAGTGAGAAAAGAAATACTATAAAATTAAACATAGCGTATAAAATAGTCAATCTTCGTAAGATGTAATAGGGCCATCCTAGAAAGGCGAGAATTTCGTTTTTCAGTTTTACAAAACTAAAAATATCTATAGGTGAAATATCTTGGGGTCTGAATTTTTCAACGTTTAAATATGTAATCTTTAATATCCTTAAAATATCCGCTGTAGTCTTGTGTATAAATGTCTGCGAATCCTGCGGTTTCGGCAAGTTTTCTTTAATTTTGGTCGATTGATTGTAGTTGTATTGTATCCATTTGTGTGAGTAATTCT